AAATTTATGTGCGTCTTACTCCCGTACGTAAGGCGATTTTCATTATACAGCGTCATGGGGTGCATGTGAATTACACAACCGCTCCCTTGGAGTTTCGCCGATAACGAATAAGAGGCGGACCTTTGCTACTTAGTTTCTCAACCCTTGGTGCTAAATCATTTGAACTCCGCAGCTAGTTCGTACGGACCGTTGTGGTTTCGACAGCCAAGTATCCATGTACAGGTTACAGGAATTAATCAAATTGTATCCCCCTTCGTCTCGTCACAGTAAACCGCAAAATACTGCAGAACTCTTGTGGCAGTGACGGTTACAGACACCTATAAATAGGTACAGTTTGTGAGTATTGATCAGATTCCTTACCGAAGTCGGTTTTAGTTGTGGATGAGCGAAAACTTCGTTGGCAAGCTATTCAGTTGACAACTGAAAACGCAAAAAGAGACTTTAGCCTTTGTTTAATGCTAACATGGATTTATTACTCTCGTGGTTTTAGAGGATGTTATTTTCTGTCTGAAATGTATAATCTTTCCATTCGTTTTTCACATTTCAATGTGCACTGGCTCTGATAGTTAACTTATCATTGATGCAGATTAAGTATTTAGGGTATTATGGTACATCCATTGAAACGAGGTCATAAATTATAGCCTATTGGCAGTCTGACAGTATCAGGCGCTGTACTGTACTTAGTATGTAATAGTGTCTCGAAGTTAATACGAACGTGTGTGCTACGAACATATATACTGGACACAAATATCAGAATCGAGTAAAATGTGAATCTGCTCTGAATGTGGTAAATAAGGAGAATGCGTTCTCTCGTTTACGGTGACATCTGTCAGCTCTATGAACAATACGTTGGTATGCGGATGATGTCATAAAGATACTAACATCATCAACAGCTGCTGACTTTGATAGTGAACCAACTAAAATTAAGAAAGTGATAACATTTCAAAGTTCGTAAGATAGTCTGTGGAGTAACTAATTCTAGTAAAACCACCCAATGGAAAAACTAGGTTTACAGCCAAATAAATTGAGGTATGAAGTTGGGAACGTACATTTTATTGGCTTACATTTGAATGTGTTTTATGCATGGTTTTCACCAAATGGCTAAAATGGACGCGTATTGAGGTCGTATCCGTCTGTCTGAATGTTCGTCTGCATATTTCACTTCCTGAAGTAACTACTTGCCTACTATAAATGAAAATAAAGTCGAATGTTATCGAATTTATCAAAAATAGTCTGCCTTCCAAAGAGTTGGTAAACGAAATGAAATCCATATCTTATCAAGGTGTGTGACTATGACTTGTGCTTGAAACGGTTTCGTTATGGCATAAATTTGATAAAGTTCGAAGGGCAATAATTCCTGACTGTGTGCACTGTAGCAGCAGGCATTCATCTGGAAATGAATTTGGCATCAAACCCAGTGAGATACGCAAAATCACAAAGAACGCGTTATGTGGAAAGTGCTCCGAAAGTATGTGTAGATACTCGAAAATTGAGTACGTTTTTTCTCTGTTTGTTATAAGTAATGCACGTAAATATTTCACCATTCTTGCCTATTTCAATATACGGATGAAAGTGTACGCCTATACATTGCGTATATTTTGTGACTTGGAAGTGCCATACTGTCAGTTGCAGTCGTGCATGTTTCTCTCTGAAAATAAGTTGTTTAAATATTTTACTCTTTCTGCCCAATTACTCCATTTTATTTAATAATTGTGCTCATAGCTCTACTTATTATACCGTTGAATATGTTGATAAGTCGACATAATGCTAAGAGATGGACTTCCCTGACCATTAAAATGTTAAAATCTCTTGGACGATTGGTTAGGTGAGTTTTCGTCGAATAAGGCCGAAACGGACCAGTTATCCCAATTCCTTCACTGTAGCATGAGGATTATGAATATGATAACCACAATGATACAGTGGACACAAGAACAACATGGTGGTTGTAATAGTGTGAATTTTTAGGAGAATCAAATTTCCTTGGCGCAGTTTAAGTAGGCCAAGTGTCAGACGGAATTTGATAAATTTGGTGAGCTACCATTGATGGGAGCATTGGACATGAATTTTATTCTGTTACTTAGGATGCTACAAGAAACGTTAACTTTCGCACCACTGGGTTTTATTTAACGTCTGCACTATTAACTGTACGATGCATTAGTTTCATATCACGGGGAGCCGGGGTAGCTCAGTCAGTATAGTGACTGACTACCGGGGTTCAGTCTCCGACAGGGGCAAAGGATTTTATTCTAACCTCTACGTCCATACCGGTTCTGGGGCTCACCCAGCCTCTTATCAAAGGGGTACCAGGGTCCTTTCCCGGGGTAAAGCGCGGACAGGGCTTGGCGCTGACCACTCACCCTCATATAGTGCCGAGGTTGAGAATGAGTAGGAGCTATACCTCCTCTCCCCTCATCTGCCTGCATTTTCCTTTTTTTTAGTTTCATGTCACAGGACTTTCTGAAATATAAGATGTATTGGGGGTATATAGTACATTTATTTAACTTTAACTTTCTAGTAGCACTTTGTTGAAATCATATGCAAAGATCCAACAAGGGCTTGGTGGAAAAAGAGTTGGGATTCGCGAGGAACTAATCGATTGAGCCCACCCGACGTCCCGGTTTTTGTTTTTTTATGTATATTCTAGAGAATACAGGTGGCGTAGTTTCTAACTGTGCACTTAGTCGCTGGCGGGCTCACACCTGAAGCTACAATTCAATTGCTGTCATGTAGCCTAGACTTAAAAAACACGGTAGGCAGTATTGTGCTTGTGAAAACTGGGAATAAACTGTGGATTCTCATACTTAACAATACTTATAGGCTTCTGGTATTACTGTAATTTTATTTTCGTTTAAACGTAAGGGGCAATTAGATGTTCAATTTTTGACAAATGTGGCAGCTTGCTTATTTTCATGTTCATAGGTCAGCTGACTGTCTGTCTGTAAATGTTTGCATTTTGCTTGTAGTAAGATAAGAAAAAGAAACTTAAACTGGCTTCATGGCATACTGTAAGTAAAGTAAAGTTTGTCCCGCTACGTGCCATACAGGCGTTTGGGGTGAGTGGAGGTATAGCTCCTCTCTTCCTTGACCTCGGCACTAGATGGGGGTGAGTGGTCAGCATCACGCCCCGGCCGGCTTTACCCACGGGAAAGGACCCCGGTACCCATTGTAGAGGAGGCTGGGTGGGCCCCAGAGCCGGTCTGGACACAGAGGCTAGAGGAAAAATCCTCTGCACCCGTCGGGAATTCGAACCCCGGCCGTCCAGCCCGTAGCATACTGTATTGAGCTTGACCAAGTTTCAGAAAGCTGAAGGGTGAATAACATGAAAAATGCATTTCGACAATAAATACGCAAAATAAAAGCTGGGGCCCAAATGTAAGTTTTTCATAGCTGGGCTATTTATAGTACCCTAGGGTGCTGAGAATAATAGTTGGACCTAAGAAAAACGAAGTCACAGTAGGATGGGAAAATTACTGATTTAGCAGTTTATTATTCGCTTGTCCTATAAATCGATAATATAGAATATGAGCCTATGACAACGTCGTTAAATAAATAGTAAACAAATATATATGAGGGGATAATCACTTTCGGTGAACTTGAAATGATTTGGCAGGAATCCGTTGTGACTTATTTTAATATTCCATGCCGGATTTGGCCTGTGTACACCGAGGAAAGACACGAAACATCTCCGTCACTATATTCGGCGTCTCTACGGAGATTCAAAGTGGGCAGTTTCCGAATAAAAGTCATAAGCGAGGTAGTTCCTGAGGAAAACACTCAAGAGAGCTCCTCTTAAGATCACGCAAACTGCTGCAAGTTTTAGTGATGTCCTTTGTATAAATAAAACCTTAACGTATTTTGCTTCTAGTACGATTTCATTGTCTTGAAGTTGGCCTCAAAATTTATATCTCTGTCTGGGGCTCACATGTCTTTTTGCCTGTGCACTTCTTTTAATCTTTTTAATCCTGTTCTGGACACTGTTTCCGGGTAAGTGTTTTTATGACGGCTGGAATTCTGTTTTCTCTCCTAACACATCCTGAAGACTTTAGTCAGGATGTGGTACTCCAATGCGACTAGACAAATCGATAGAGACTGGTTCGTAATAGTACCGTGGCTGGCTTGTTTCATTTCTGTTACATTCCGACATTGTTGTGTGGCATCACGATCGGAGATAATTCCTACGGACACATTTTAACTCTCTCGAATATTCGTCATCTCTTGTTTTCACGCTGGGTGCAATGTGCAACTTTGCCTTTTCGTATAATCAGCGCCGAGTGTCGAAGGTTTTGACAGATTATTTAGTATCGATTGAGATGTGGAATGGCTTGTCAGTGTTATCTGGGCAACCTCCTGGAGGAACTGAGGAGAACCTTAGGAGTCTGTAGTATACTTCATAGGGGAAAAGAGGCTTTAGACTCTAACGCATTTCCAAAGTGTGGGGGCACAGTAGATTCCACAACATACACTTTAATGGATAAGTACTTTATGGGTGTTATTCAGGTTCATTAGCATCATTTATTGACATTTCTAAATCACATTTTAAGTCATTTTGTATAGGCTAGGGGCCTGGAATTTTTTAATCACATCAGGGTAGCTGCGGACTAAGAGGGTTTGGGAACCACGGCTAGAGAACGACGCTGTTTTGTCTGCTTCGTCCCACAAGAACCCCTCTCCAAGTAATTACCAAAGCAGGATAAAATTGCGTAATGAAGAGCTTAGTTACACAGTGTGTTCTGGACCAAATGCTATTAGAGTGGCCAAACCAAGGAGGATGTAGACGAGAATACAGTGACCTGAGAGAGATGAGACTTGCAGTTTGAAGAGGATAACTCATCATTGAGGATATTTGTGTACGAGGCAGGATAGTAGCCTATTAAGATGGATGTTAAATAAATAGCGGGTGAAGATACAGAATTTTGTTTTGAAATAACCTAATTGACTGAAAATTCGCCAGTGTCTCAGTGTATGAATTGCAGGCTAATAGTTCTGTTTTTTTGCAGCAGGAAAGAACAGTGGGCAACGCCAATGGTACGAGTCCTCTGGATAATATGAGAAGTCTGGAACACTACTTGAACGACCTGATGCGCGGCGCAGGGGATACACCAGACCACCTGAAAGGTAAGGGATGAATTTGTTGTTCACGTTTCGAACACTTGAACTGCTAACCTTGACTGCAGGATGATGGAAGAGTCACGCGACCCATTCCTGACACATGTCCTACGTTTTAGTCCGCACGGCTCCAGATCACCGCTATCATTATCATCACCGCCGTGATAACCTCAAATATCACATATTGTATTTGTCAAAAATAAATCGCATTGTCGTCAGAAAACAAAAGAACGTTATAATAAGTCTTGGAAATATACACGGCGTTTAGCGATGCTTGGAATTCGTCCTTTGTCCTCAAGTTTGATGGAGTCCGGTGAAGCGTTTCCTGTAGACTAGATGGGTGCCAGGTAGTGTTCGACAATGAACACTCGTTGTACTTACGACTGTTGAAAGACAAGTGACGGACTAGCGCGAGCATGTTACAGCATGAGTCGACCTGAAACGACGTTCGTGGGGTAATGCATGGTCACAGTGATATTGTGTATTTATTAATCCAGTCGAATTGTATTAATTGCTAAGTAATGTAAAGTTGCCCCACTAAACGCCATGTAGGCGCTTGGGGGGAGGGAGGAGGAAGTATAGCTCATACTCACTGTACTGACGGAGCTACCCCGGCTGTATTAAACTTCTACCTTAAAGAAATGTTTATTACGAGGTGGGTGACTTTTCGATCACTCTGTGTTAGAAGTGGATTCCTTTATTTAAACGTAACAGATCAGAGAAGAGCCCTTGGCAGCGTTGATCCTTAGTAGTAGAGGATAAACATTTATTATGATTAAGTTCACATATTTTACCCCTGCATTTATGCGAAATGCGGTCCCTTTGTTTACTCATGTGTGTATATCCAACGTGACGTTTTAATTTTCCTTTTGATATGCTATTTTAACTCGTTTTATCGTGATTATGAGAAAGACCGGTCTCGCACTTTCCATAAATTACTTCACAGAACATTGGAACTGTTCCGATTTAAGGGAGGCAACGTTGCGAGCAAAATGTATGGGGGAGGGGCTTTTCTGCCTTCCCACGTCCGAGGTCAATGATCGGAAGTCCCCGTGTAATAATTCGTGAAAGATGTTCGCTTTGCGCAGAATTTCTCCCCATTCGGACTGTTGTAACATTTTACTCGGAAGCTAAATTCTAACCATGTTCACTGAACTACATTGTAATCGTAAAAGGGAGATGTACATCTCCCAGGGCGAAGTCCCGCGGATTTATTGGTTCATTAATTGATCAAAGTTTGGAAGAGTGAATAGGCAATTTGGTTTCATTCTGAAGTCAGTTCTATCCGTGCTTGAAAATATAGTTGCCGTGTGATCATTAAAGAGTGCAGTCATGTATGGGTGTGAATGGCAGGCATAATTTCAGCTCGAACGGCAGTAATTAGGACTCTCGTGGACGTTAAACTGTCGAAATATTTTTTTATGATAAGGGACGTCAACCGCACAATTTTGAATGTGTTGACGTACAATACATGGCTGTACTGTTCTGATATGTTACACTTGACAGTAGCAAATGATCGAGATTATTTCAGTGTTTTACATGCTTATTTATATAAGGATATTAGCAGTTATGAAGGAAAAGAGAAATATATAATTGGCTCTTTCATAATCTTGCTTTCTCCGGTGAAACCTGTGCATGCATAAGCAATGAAATACAATTATGCTGGAAATTACCTGTTTCTTGTTTATCCACGTGTTATCGCCTTATCACATCTCTTGTCAAAATTTCGTATGCGTCTTTTCGCGATGTGCATACCGCTAACGGATGTAGGACCGATCGTGCCTTTCCGTCCGTCTTCATTTAAAACTCCAAAACTGCTAGACGGATTTTGATTAAATTTGATATGAACTTATGCTCTTTGGAGGCCATCCGATCATCGTACTCTTTAATTTCCTACGATTTGTAATAACAACATGGAAGACGCACGACATTGTGAGATGACTAACGCTGGCAAGATATTGGTTTGACTGGCTTTGCAGAAACACGCTTCGTCTCAGGCTGGACAACATTTGAAAATTGAGCTATGTTAATGGTACTTGCAGTAATGTTTCTTGTATGTGGGCTTATCGGAACAAGGCAGCGAGGACGACTGTGTACTATTTATCTACTATAAAAATTTGTGATTAGTCGTTGTCTTCAAAAAAAGACGTCATCAACAATGTCACCTTACACAAAGGGGGGTTGGTCAAGTATTTTAACCACCATTCGGGGGGGTAGTTTAGTTTCTTACTCAAGGGTTAAAACACTTGAATGAGACACTAAACTAACCCTTACGAAGGGGAGTTAGTTTAGTTTCTTACTCAAGATTTTAAAACACAACCAACTCCCTCGAAGGGGGGTTGGTAAAGTGTTTTAACCCCCCCAGGGGGGTTGGTTTAGTTTCTTACTCAAGATTTTAAAACGCAACCAACCCCCAGAGGAGGTCCGAAAGGAGCGCTCTGCTCTAGTATGATAAAAGTATTGTTAACCGAACTTATGTGTCACGACGTGGACATGAGTGGACAGCTTCACGCTCCTGCAGATTTATACCAGGAAATGAGCTTGAAAAGAGATTGGAAAGTAAGGTTATAGAAACTCAGAGTCATTCTTGAAGCGATGGTGCCAAGTTTTAAATAAAATTGTAGACATCCTTCTTACTGTCATGTAATAAATTGATAATTTGATGACATTATGTTTGCTCACAGATTTCGTTTACAGTATTGAAATTAAAAGCAGCGTTTATAAAAGAAAATTTTCTCAGTTAAATTCCAGGCTTCTGATTAGTTATTTTGTCCTCTCTCCTTCTGCAACCATTGTTAACCTTTTCAAGGACCTCACCCTGTGAAGTAGGTGATCATTGCTGCCTGAACATTTTTTCCGCCTCAACTCAGTATATTGCCTGTCGCCAATGTTTTATGGAAACTGGACGGGTATTCCCCCAGTATAGCACCACTGTATCTGAAATTAACACTGATTGATACATTAATCACTCTGTAGCGTTACGAAATTAATCGGGCTTATGTTCACCGGTCTGGCCTCTGGTGGTTTCTCGATTGATTACTTAGTATCGATGAACTTTGAACTTTTCAAACCGCAATTCAATATGGCTGACGCATCGTTTATGTGAATAAATTAAATCACTACATTAAATAATAAATAACTCGGTTAACTTTCAGGTCTGATAATAATCTCTTAATCAATCGAATAACTGTAAAGGATACAGCTGTAATTTGTCCTGCAAAACTGGTTAGCAATTAACTTTGAATTGTGAGGTTTAGAATTTTTGTTGTTGGTATTTTTAAATCAAAACATCAAAATCCACGTTTTCATTGCCTTGAAAACCACATTTATTTAAAAAGGGTTTAACTTTGTAACTTACTGAAACAGAAGGTTTATTACGGAGGTGGCAGGAGCCTGCCTCTGGAACGATAAGAATACACCAATTTCCTTCATATTCATAAATATTATGAGGTGGAAATTTGTGAGTCGTTTTGTTCGGGATTGATACACAGTCATTTACAGTTTAACTCTAGAATTTAGTTACAAAGTGGTGATGTCAGGCGGCGTGGATATGAATTTAAATCGAATTCATGAAGAGTAAAGGAATGGTAGTGTAACTTTAATTGTAATGACATTGAATTATTTTCATCACGTCACATAATCGATTATGATATTTTCACGAGACAGTTTGCAATGTTAGTAACGTTAGGTAAGAAAACACTGTAATTTTAATCCCTTAAGATGTGTGGAAATCAGATGAGATACGTCGAGTGAAAAGCAATTAAAGTAAGGTGCTATAGCAAGGTCTGTAATCCTGTGTATATTGACATATAGATATCGTTTAATTGACTGTCTTTGCTTCCACAAAGACAATTGAAGCTAACACGAAATCAGTGGAATTGCTATTTGTTGGTAAAATAGCCCTCCAGTCCTTCAAAAAATCTTATAAGACGAAAATTATAGGTTTTTGTCACGTCTTGAAAGAAGATATTTTCTATCTTGTGTTGAACCAACTCTATATGAATCGTATATTGAACGCACGAAGAATTTTTGATGAAGTAGCCACGTTGAAGATTTCGCTCCACACTTTTGAAACCAAGTGTTAGATACTGCAAAGGCTATCAGGAACGAGTGACCAGTGAAATTTGTAGCAGTGCAATCTGTCAGTGTTGTTAAGGGTTAATAGTCTGTGATCTGTGATTCGTGTTCTTTTCTTAGTTTATTGACCTGGAAGTTAATCTGGTTCGTGGAATCGGAGCGTTTCAGTGACCCAGGTATTGGACATGGGATGATAAAGTACGTCAGTTCACCTCCATACTTTTTTTTTTTCCATTTAACAAGCGCTGTGTGTCCTCGTTAAGACCGAGTAGGAGTAAAGATTCATTTATCCGTAAAAGATTTTCCATTTGTTCGCATTCGAAGCGAAATGACTTGACGAAATGATGTAAATACCGTGGAAGCCAGAACTAAAACATTTCTTAATAAATTGATTTACAGATAGGTTAAAAATGTAATATTGTGGAAGAAGGAGAAGATGAAATGCTTACAGTATTTTACCTGGGAAATCTGAAGGTAAGATACTACTGTTGATACGTAGGCGTCGATTGCAGGATAATATTAAAATGGATATTGGGTAAATTATATATGAGGGTGTGGATTATTGGATTCATCTGGCTCAGAGTAAAGCCCCAGTGAACTCCGTAATGAATCTCAGTTTCCATAAAAGGCACTGAATTTCTTTATTTTTTGAGCGACTTTTGGTTTCTAAAGGGGAACTTTGCTTCATGGAGTTCGTTTGGAGTTATTCCATCGATAAAAATTTTAGTAATTTACTTGTGGTTGTTTGTTGTTCCATTGTTCGGGCAGTGACGTTCAGGAACTTTGAGTAGTAAGTGATGTGAATGTTTGCTCCGCATGTCAGGTGTCAAAATCGCTCATTAATGCGGACTGGTAAATATAATTATACGGTACAGACAAAATTGGGTAGGCTCAAAATATAGTAAATTAGTCTGTTTACATGAATACAAAAT